TCTCTTCCCTTCCCAGCCTCACCGGCCTTTTGCCTGCTGAGCAGAGCTACGTCCAGGTTCTCACTACCCAGCCTCCTCTCCTAATCATGCCAGCTCAGGGCTAAAGGTGTTGTGGTTCACCTGTGTCAACTTCTCGGTTTGCAGATGAGGACACAGATGGGAGGAGCTGAGGGTTCACTCACGACTCTAGATGACAAGGAGATGTTACAGAGCCCATGCCTGGGAGTGAGAGACCAAGGTCCTCAGCTCCCCAGCTCCCTCTGCTCATGTGCCTTCGGTTCAACAATGGCCATTCAGGCAGTTCGGAAAGATCCATTTCTAGTTTTGTAAAATACCTTGCTACCCCAAAGCAAAAGAGCCTTACCTAAATAAACAGGTAAGTAAATATATTTGAAAAAGAATCAATGGTATTGATACTCTCGTAACGAAAGCTGGCTTCTCTCCGCTGTTCTCCTCAGTCTCATTCCCGTTAATATGAGCTGAAGGCTTCTCCGAGCCTGAGATGCCGGCTGATAAGAGATTCAGGAGATTCGTATAATAATAAGGGACTCTTAAAGGCGGAGGAGTTCTCCACTCAAAGGAATGAAGTTATGAAAGTGGGAAATTAACCTCACTGTTGCCGAATTCCACTGTGCCTCCCCAAGCCCATAATTGTGCTGTTGGGCCTGCACAGGCTCAGCGGCCCTCCCAAATCACACCCTGTGTGAGCACCCAGCAGAAGGGCTTACCCTGCTGCCCAGAGGCGCCTAGTGTGAGGCCTGGGAGCCCGCAAGCTTCTCTCACCCAGCTGACTCTTGTCCCCTGGGGCCAGAGAGATGAAGTGATTCTCTTTGGGTTACACAGCTGATGAGTAGCAGAGCCAGAGCCTTTGGGAGCCCCCGCTGTTCAGGTCCAGGGTTCTTGGTGCTAATGGATCCTTCTCCTCTGATTGCACTACTGCTGGCGGGAAGGTCAAAATTAAGCATGACCTTGGGTCTCGGGGATACCAGATCATCCATCAGTCCTTTGGCAGGTGGGTTTTGTCACCCTGCTGGGTCGGCTCACTCTGGTGTGGCCCAAAGTGACAGAAAGACTCAGACCCACACACCTGCTCTTCATCCCCTGTTCTAAATTCTTCACGGCCCACGGTGTACATTCAGACTCGTCCTCCTGGTTTACACGGAAGTGCTGGTGTCCATGAAGTGCTGATTTTAAACTTGTTGGGGAAAAAGCCCACATTGTTATTTTTCATTTTAATTATGAGTAGAAGCAAAATTTACTTTACTTTTAGTATAATACAGGGATTTGGGCTCTTACAGGGATTGCTTCCCAATTGGTCTGAGTTCAGTTTCCTCCAACATCGGCTACTTTAGGGGAAGTTTAAGGGGCACAAAGAGGACCAACCCCAGCTAGCGGTAAGACCCACACAGTTTGACCCTTAGCCGCACTCCCACACTCTTCTCCTGTAAGTAAGGGCACGCTGCCCTACTGCACCAGCTGGGGTTTCCCAGGTGCACCTATCCTCCTGCATCCCCTTGCTCGCCTGGTGCCTCAGCCCAGGGTGCCTCGGCCTGGGCTCTGGTGACATTTGGGGCCAGGTGATTCCGTGTTTTGGGGGCTGTCCCTGACATTGTAGCATTTCCCCATGGCCTTAACCCACTAGCAGACAGTAGCTCCCCCGGTCATGGCAACCAAAAACATCTCCAGACATTGCCACATGTGCCCCCAGGGAACAGTCACACCAGTTGATAACCTCTGCTCTAACACAAATGGGCTCCGGTCCCATCTGTCTGCCAAACGTACTCCTCTTTCAGGCCTCAGCTCAACATCATCTCCACTATACCACTTGATACCTGCTTGAGAAATGACTTTGCCAAAGCAATAACCCAGTTTTATGAACATTCACAGTAATAATAGGATTATGGCAAAGAGACCAGCTGCTGCCAGCGGAGTGACTTCTGCGGGTCTAACTGCTAACTCTTGGAACATTTCTGTGAGCCACACCTTATTATTACCACATTACAGGCAGGCAAAATGAGGCTCTGAGAATTTAGTTCATAAATTCAGCATCCTAGGGGCCCTAGGATTAGGTCCAAGGCAGTTTGACTCCGAACCCCAATCACTACCCACTCTTTGGTTCCTAAATTTTTTCACTTAATGGTGATTCTCAAAAAGGGATCCCTTAAGACCTGAATAGCGTCCCAAGGCCAGATCAGTGGGTTCCTGCTGCCCTGCTACAATCTGTGTCACTTCTCACCGCTTGTGCAACAAACATCAGATTCTACAGAAACTCAGAAAAAAAAGCATTTTGATGTTGCATTTGCATATCCAAGGACTGGAGGATGGTTTGTATAATCAAATTATGTAGAGTTGTAAAAAGGGAGCATCATTTAAATAGCTTTCAAAATTACTTTGAAGATGCACATTATAATCTAAAGAACCCATCGCCTCTGAGATCTTTATAAAAAGTTAAACGCTAATTGATTATGACAGCTTTGCCTTTATCACTGGCATCATTCTCCATTTCTCCATCAATATCACAGCCCAAATATCATCTCTCCTCTATTTCTCTTCCAGCCATGTTCCCTACCATGCTATGATAACAAATGGAATTTATGCATGACTGTCTTTTCCCCTCTTTCCCCATAGTTGATCAAAAGAAGCAGCCTGAGAAAAAGAAACTGGAACTTGGTGAAATTCTGATTTCTTTCAGCAGTTTTATAGACTTTATGACTTATCTTTTATTGACTATGCAAGATCTCTGGTCCCCAGCATCTGTTTGTTGCATCTGGGGAGAAAGATAAATTCCCTTTTTTATGCCACTGAACCAAATTTAAGAGACATACAAACAGGTCTTATTAGAAGAGGACAGCAGCACATCTCTCCCTCATCCCGGCCATCCTCTTCCCAGGCCCCGGGAGCAGAGGAGGTGTCTTCCAGCCTGTGGGCTTTGCCAGCTTAGGGACGCAGGCACAGGAGCCTGGCCCGTCAGGCCAGGGTAGGTGCTCTCTCCAGACAGGGGACGTGGGACTGTTGGTTTTCAGCCCAAGATTTTGGGAGGGTGCTTTGTATACATAAAAAGTCCTCTGCACATCATTTATGATTTCTCCAACTTAAAGAATTGTGCCTGGTCACCCAGAGACGTGATTATACATCATGGAGCTTCATTATAATAATGGCTCTGGTACACTCCAACTTCTTTAAAACCTCAGCTGTTCGATTCAGCCTCTTCAGCTCCATAACTGTTTGTAAGATTAATAGACTCTGATGCATAATTGACTCTCCCACTGGGAGAAGAAAAGAGAGAGCATCTAATCTTATCCCTCACAAAAGTAGCATCCCCTGAGGATCCTGTGAGTAAGCGGGAGGGTCAAGGAGGGTAAGAGAAGGGCAGGGGGGCGGGCCTGGAGCAGGTGGTCTGGGAGAGCCTGTGCTCTCCTTGGGAAACCGACTTGGCCGCCCAGCCCACGGGATGATCTGACTCTGCAACAGGGAGCAAAACACAAGCTGGTACATGGCCACAAGGAGGACAGGGTCCCCACAAGGAAGGAAGGGGAAGGACTGGGAAGCAGAGCCACAGAGGAGGACCCAGGGCCTTCCAGCTGAGCGTCAGTGGGTCCAGGAGGAGGACCACTCCCAGGCTCGCGTCCCCTTTCTGGGGCCATAGCACGTTCACCAGGGCCTGCAGAAGGGCCCTGCTGCAGGACGGGGGAATCCTGCTCTCAAAGCAAACCTGAGCTTGTAAGGATGGCAGGGCAGTCTCCGTAAGTGCCAAGGAGCTCAGAGCTAGGGCGTCACCCACGTGGGCCCTGGGGCATCAGGAAATGCTCATTGAAGGAGTGCAAGGTCAAAGGAAATGAAGGCCTCCGTGAGCAGATTGGGAGGAAGCTGGAATCAGAGCAGGGAGGGCAGAGCCAGGCTGGGGGCTGGGTGAGGGTGGGTGGGGACAGTGTGGCGCAGCCCCCAGAGCCGTGGGTTCAATGGGAGGCAGCCCTGCAGAACCTCACCCAGCCTCAGTGGTGGCTTGACTAAAGGAGGGAAGTCTCACTAACAGCTGGAGACAGGAAGTCAAATTTTAATTGCTGGTGCATCTCACTTCTGCTCGCCTCTCTACCCCTGCTTCTTTTGGTTTACTTTAATGTTCTAGAAGGAGACTATGTGGCTTGCAGTCTTACTGGGGTGGGGGGAATAAAAGCAGAGCAAATAATGGGAAGAGATTGAAGTGGAGATGGGGACAGGGTCTCGCTTCCTCCTCCTGAGCTGAGGGTCCCCCCGGGCCTTGCTCAGCTGCCTGGGAGAAGTCTGCATTCATCTTTCATCCATCAGCCCAGGTTGGCGCTCCTCTCTTTGCCATAAGTAACTGCCTTTCGGCTGGACGTCCAGAGCATCTGCTTCTTCCCCAGACCCCAGAAAACCCAAGTGGGTTGCAAAGATAAGTCTTATCTCTGCCTAGGTTCTGCTCTCAGCTAGTGGCTAAGTGACCCGTGGTGAAGAAGGAAGGCCAGGCCCATATTCCTGTGGCCACAAGTCACACGTTTGCTTGGTGAAAACCTGGTGCAAAGGAATAAAACCACATCACAGGCTTGTAAGCTTCATAGAGTTTTAGATGTGAACTTGCTCTTTTGTTCAGCTCTAGGAGAAACAGCAAACTTTTTAAAGTGTGTTTTACCTGGTGGATTTAAAGGGTTTAAACTTTACCTTTAATCCTTCCTATCATTTTTAGGGAAAAATGAAGCAGGGCCTGACAACAGAAAATGACCAGTATCAGTTTATTGACTTCTAAGAACTATTAACCTTTTGCGGAGAAGAGAAAAAACCCTATTGTATGGAGGGCCTGCTGGGTGCTAATCTGACATGGCAATGAGATAAAGTTCAGCTCCAGCTGCTGTCAACCTCACCGGATCGGAATGCCATCTACTTAGCATAGGACTCAAACAATTCCCTGGCAATAGATTGCTTTCCACTTGTAGGTCTACTAAATAAATAGAAAAGTAATTAACAGTGCGCTCTGGCAGACGTACCGGGTGGAATTTCATCAGAGGCGAAGAACCGAGAGACTCACGAAGCCGTTTGTGTCCCGCCGTCCAATGAGGCTTCCGTGTTTCTTCCTCTGGGACTGATGGGTTATTTTTGCTTTTCTTCAAGAAGAGAAATTTCTGAATTTCCTATTATATCTTCACTTTGGTCAACGGAAAAAGAGAAAAGAAACGTCTAAATGCCTGAAGTGAGTCCAAAAATAAGCAATTTTCACTTTTTTATTTAATTATTTTGGTCCTAAAACCCATGGATGATTATTTCTTTTTTGCCACATTTTTTGGGGGGGCTCAATTATTAATATCTGAATTTTGAAATGTGAGCTGAATGTTTCATTATTATCATTCCCCCCTTCCCTTTGAAAATAAGTGACATGTCATATTTAACAGGAAGAAATGAAATTTCAGTGGAAGGAAATTTAAGCTGTTGGAAAAAGAAAAGACATTGAAGGCATTTATTTTTAACTAGCTTAAAAAATATATTTGAAAGTACTAAATTCAATTTCACATGTCCAGAATGGTATAACCTAATTTTAGCATATTAATTAACAATAAAAGTAGTGTTTTGTCTCATACAAAGAAATAAAATAATTAACTTACTGCGGAAATGGGGTCATATGATTTTACTTTGAGATGGTAATGAATGACATTGAGTAACGGTAACAAAAAGGTTTTGCAAAGCATCTCTGGCTGTGGAGCCTGTTCTGAATTCTTTGTTAAATACCCGACAGCCAGACGGTTTTCTCCTTCTCCAAATATTACCTGTCTTGACCCAGACGAACCCACGCATACTTCAGTGAGGCAGGCCAGTCAGTGTTCCCCGGAAAAGAATGCTGAGTTGAGGGGGAAGCAAACAGTTGACGACTTGCAAGGATGATCTGAGTGTCTAAATACTCCCTGAGTCAATAAACACTAAGGTGCTTTCTACTCGAGGAAGAAATTCCAACATTTTTGTATTTTACATATTTGGACCTTTGAACTTGGAATATTTTGTCACACTTTACATAGCTTCATTCCCTAGGGAAAAAAACTAGTCTTCAAGTGGTTATTATAAAGCTAAGTACATAAATATGCATGAGAGGTCATTATTACCACAAGATGATACTTAAAAGCTTCAAGTATCTCTTACTAAGATTTTTCAACTTGTTCGGGGACAGTAAATCACAGTCTCCAGTTTTTGGTTGCTGAACTTTGCCTTTGATTGTTCTTTCAGAGTTCTCAAAAAAATGGTTTCAGATCCCCAGCTGGCACTCATTTGTTCATTCATTCATTCATGTGACAAATATTGAATGAGAAACTTAACCACCTGTGTCCATGTTTTGTGCAGAATGTGATATTTAAAGCATTGTAGTCAGGTGTCTGAAGGTTGGGTCACAGCATTTCTAGAGTTTAGAGCTGGAATTAAGGCACAGAGAAGCTATATGACTGGTCCCACATCACATTGCGTCACGTAGTCAAGACTGGAAATCAGATTCGACCCCAGGCCAGGCCTCAACAATGAACAGGGGCATCTGGAAGGTTTGAGGTCCAAAGAACAGAATCATTTTGGGAACCATGATAATGAAGAGTTGCATTTCAACCCATTTCCTATTTGTAGAACTTGACATTTTAATGGAGAAATCTTATATAGTGTTATCAGAACCTTAAAGGCTCTTAAATATGGTGTTCCCATTCAGAAGTGACTTCAGTTCAACCTTCCGCTAGCAGCAAACTCCTACTTGGAGAAATACTTTTCACCTTCGAAATTCATTTTCCATGAGACCCTATTCTCCCTGGAAAACTACATGAAGCTGGAGAGTGGAGACAGCTCCTGCCAGCTGCCCTGTTTTTTTTTCTCTGCATGGGTGGGCATACCCTCAAGGAGTCCTGGGGTCTGACAACTGTTTTAGTCCCAAATTAACCAAGGAAGAGCAATTTACAATTTACAGAAGCAATCCCTTCTTAAACTTTCACTCCTGGGCCCCCAATGTCTGACGTACAGGCCAAATCTTTGGAAAGGAGAGCTAGTAGAAGGCAGAGTGACAGAGGAGCACTCTCTCCCATGGACTGACACACAGTGAGTCTGATGCACCTGTGTTATTTCCCACGAGGCTTTCCCAGAGTAGTGAGGATGCTCCTGACCAAGGACTTGCAGCAAAAGAGAACTGGGTCAAAGATGGAGGTGAGCTCCTCAAGCTTCAGGACAGCAGTGGCAGACAGCAGAGGTCCACCAACAGCACTCTGGGGACAGGCTCTCCAAGGTGGCCCTCCCGTGCTCTCATTTGCTGTCACGCAAACTGATGCATTTTAAAATGAATGTCTCTTCTACCCATCATTTGGCTGATGGTGTTGCCATGGAGATCAGTGGAAAGAGTGGTCACTATGAGGACGATTTGGGATCGAATCTCTGTGCCTCCACTGAGTAGCTGTGGAACTCAGGCAAGTGACCCAACTTCTCTGAGGCTTAGTGTCCTCATCTGCAATCAGCCGTGACCCTCCTCACTTTAGCTTCCAGGATGCTTAAGGTTAGAGGAGGTTACACACTGTGTGTCCCATCCTGGAAGGGGCTTGGGCGAGGCCTTCCTAAGTTCCTGCTGAAGGAAGAAGTCTTCAGTTGGAGTTCCAACTCTCCTTGGTCACCCCCAAATGCCCCAAATTGTATGTTATTTGTGAATTATTTCTGTACATCCCATTATTGCTTTCTTTACTTTTTAACATTCTATTGTTTTGCTATTTTAACATTTGTTAAAGCTGCCATTTTCATGATAGATGTTGTTCACATTGTTTTCCTCCCCTTATGCTGTGATTTGAGTTTCAAAAGAACATGCCGTTTCTTTTTCAACTCCCTGATCAATTTGGTATTTCATCTACCTTAGAAGCTCAAGAAGTTTGCTGACAAACTAACAGAATAATCAAAATGTCCCAAACTCCTTTTCTTTCATTTTAAATTACTCACACTCTCTTCTCCAAGCCCCAGAACTGCAGGGTCGAGTGAGACCTCCAAGGTCACAGACATTCCCCTCTGTCAGGCCTGGCCTCCAGGGTAATCACCACTGAAGAAAAATGTAGGCCGGTGGAGACACAGAGACGACCCCTGAAATAGCGCTGGCCAGACTCCCGGGCCTGCTTCTCAGGGAAGAATAGATTCCCACCATGTGGATTCGGAGGTTTCGCCAGGATGGTTTTTCATTGTGCTCTGGGCTGCCCCTAATCCTTTTGGGAAATAATTTCACTGTTCCCTGGTAACCAGCGTGTACTTTCTGTTTGTGATTCTGCATACATTTACTTTCATCTAAAATGTTTTGCTCAGAATCTCGGTTGAAGTGTTGGCCTTACACCTTTCACAAATGACTTGCCAACCTGTATGTAGGGATATCTCGGTATCAGACGGGGTATTCTCACCCCGGACGTATATTTCTTTATCCACATTTTATAAATTAAGCATTTTCTTTCTGCCCACCCCTCCATTCTACCATTAGCTTCAAGTTGTTGATTCAACCAACATTTGCTGACCTCTGAGACGCCAGGCTGGAGGCTAAGCCTACTGGCCTCTGAGCCTCAGTACCATTCTCAGCTTCCCATGCCCCTCCTCACCCTCAGGCCTGCTGCTGGCTTCCAGCCCTGCGGTGCCCACACGGAGTGTAGTATCCCATGCCAGGATGTCTCTCCATGTGCAACCAAAATAGTACTGGCCTTTGTGCGGCCCTTCTCCTTCCTAAACGCATCCTGCCATAATGTCTGGTCTCACCTCTCACACATTTCGGTGTCTTCATGGCACACACTATGAGCGGCACTGTCACAGATCTAAGCTGGTTTCTTGGCTCCTTTGCGTGTAAGATCTGAATCCATTCATATTTTCTCTCCTTCCCTGGGTGGTATGTCTGAAGTGTGTGTTTTTCAATCCATTTTCCTTCTGCTAACAAAGAAGTTAAAGAAACTATATCCAGGTTCAGAAAAAGGCTCAATTACATTCTAGAAAAGTAACAATTTAGGCAACCTTGTTTGAAATAACAGAATCTCTTCTTTAAAAAAAAAACTAGAACCGAATGAAACCTGAGAAATCTCCTGGCCCAATCCCTTTCCTTTACGGATTGAGAGTTCTAGGTTCAAAGCAGCCTAGCGACTCCCAAGCCCCTGAGGGATGGGGGAGGAGCCCCTGAATCAAGATCAGAACCCTGGTCTCCTGACTGAGTTTAGCATGTGGGTCTTTTTTTAAAAAAACATATACGTGTAAAAGAACACTCTAAAGCAGATTCTCAGGCCACATTAAATCAAACCTGTTTCCAGTGCTTTGTGGTCCCCAAACGTGCTATTGCATTCTGGGCATCTGGGATCTCTGGTCAGCGTGATTTACTCCCTCAGGCACCCCATCCGTTCACCCTGGCTCAGTGGCCCCATGAACCTAACAATAGCCCAGGCATCTCTTCCTGGCATTTGTTAATATCATAGTCACAGCGTGTTTGCATGATGTTGTCCTCAACAGCCACCCCACCTAATGTTGTTTGACTGACTCTGAAGTCATCTCTTGATGGGCATCATGCTTTGTTTTGGGGTAACTGTCGGAAAGCCTTCCTTCTAATTAAACAAAGTCTGCCTTCCTCTCACTGTCCTCACCAGACCCATTTTGGCCCATGACCTTCAAACGGACTTGGCTTGCAGGCCAGCAGTACCCTGGGGCTGCACCAGAGGTGCTCCCTGCCCCCCAGCCCCTCCTCCTCCTCCTGCTCCATAACTTCGGCTCCCCTGGTCCCCTGACCTCCTGCATTTTGGTTCCTTATTCTGTGTGTACTTTTCACTGAAGCTTTGTCGTTAACACCCAGTTGAACTGTCCTTCCAGCTTTTCCTCGATGCTTCCCCTGGGCTCTGACCTCCAGTGTGGCCTGCCAGTCCTGTATCTTGATTGTGTTGTCTCTGCTGCCCCCAAGTCAGGAGCGTTTGGGGCAGGCTGCTTGCCTTACCTGTTCAGCCCACGGGTTGGGAACGATACACAGACTCATAGGTCTTAGTTCCATCCTCTGGAATGGTCTGCAGGGCACATCTGGTCCCTGCTAGTATTTTAAGAGGGTGATCCCACCCTTCCTGCATGACTGCACTCCCCTCCTAGGTACCTTTTAAAAGATGGATATAAATGCTTGCATCTGTGGAGATGGTGTCTGACCTGTACAAAGTCTGGGTGGCATTTCCTGTGTTGCTGGAACCTTCTATTTTCACCAGTGCAGCCTCTCTCCATCGGCTCTGTTCACCAGCACAGCCACATGGCGAGTGTGTGGTCAGCTAGATCCGTACACCCCTCTGCACTCACATGAATTGCGGGTAAGCCTGGTATCTGTTACTCTACTTATTTCATAGGTCACATATTTAGGTTCAAACTCTTGTGTATCCTGTTAATTCATATTTTTAATTTGATTCCTCATTCTAGCTGATTGATAGCCTTTTGAATCCCAATTCTTTTGCATGGCTTTATGTTTCCTCCAAGATTTTACTGTGCACAAGTTTAATATGTGAATATTTTGTGCTTCAAAAGTACAGATAAAAATGTTCAGTAGGGGCACGGGTGCACGGTTTTGAAACAGCTTTACATGTACGGTGGAGGCGAGCAAATAAGACGGATGGTGGATGGTGGGAGTCAGCTTTCTCACTGTTGGGAGGGGGTGTTAAAGACACAAAGGGGGAAGCTGCTGGGTTGGAGTCAGAGATATCAATGTGGACTCACGTTCAGTTCAGTACAGATGCAGACAGACAGACACAGAAGTAAGTACAGGCGTGTCATGCATGCATTCCCTAGCGCAGTCTGCTGGGAGGGCCGTTCCTCTCCACAGGGACATTCCTGGGGCCTCGAGCATATCCAGGGCCCACAGCATGGCTTCTAAATGCAATTCTCCAATAAAAGGAGCCAGGGTTCCTTGCAGAAATGGCTTGTCCTAAGACTGTGTCAGAGAAAATATGAGATGATCCTGGAGCATCTCATAGAAGCAAAATGTGAGGAAGTGCTCAAATAACATTAAGGACGCAGGCATGGCAGGGGGACACAGGGGCCGATGTGAGAAGCTCTTGATGCCCGAAGCTGTAACGGTGGGAGCAAAAAAGCAAATAACGTTAGTTCTGCATTCTGACTCAAAGAATAAGATACATCTACACAAATCCGTGTTGACATAAATAAATGACTGAATAAAAACCTACATTGGAGCAAAGGGACAAATATTCCTTACAGAAGAATTCCAAATAACTCATGGAGATGCCCCCCACCCCAACCCTCTGCCCTTGAGCATGGCTGGACTTCACGACCAAAGAACAGAGTGTGGAAGAGGGGGCAAGACGGCGTCACGCTGGACAGACCCATTCGCCCACCCGGCCAGGTGGCCGAGGCTGATACCTTCGGGACGTCATGCAGGTAGGGTGCACCCGAAATGATGTGACGAGAATGGGATTTATCCCCGTGGCCTTCTCCCACGGAAAACCTAATGTATGTGGTCTGTTCATGAGAAAAAATAATCTGGTGAAACAAAATTGAGGGACATTGTGTGAAGTTGCTGACCAGTAGTCCTCAAAACTGTCACCAAAAACGAGGAAAGACTGAGAAATTTCACAGAGCAGAGGGGGCTCTGGCAACACGCCCACCTTCACAGCATTTCTGTGTATCTAAAATTATCCCCCCACATCATTCAAAAATTAAAGAAAGGAAAACACATGACTCTTAGATTAATGTTCGACTGACAAAAATAAGAAAGCTGTGATTCTACAGATGACCTCTTGCTGGTGGGTATCAGGCCAGCACGTGTCCCTCTGCGGCACAGGACCAGCTGCATTTCCCTCCCCAGGGCTGGACTGCCACCACTGGGCTGTCCCCGTCCCTGGCGCCGGGCCTTTTCCACCCAGTGTACCAGTGGGTCCAGCCTCAGAACCTCACACCCCAAGGCCGTCGTGTCCCCTGGGACCCGGACCAACTCCAGCCATTATTACACTGTTGTTATTTTGGTAGGAAGTCTCTACTTAGAAATCCACCAGTACTTAAAGCTGAACTAATGTAAATCCTAGACCCTCACTAGGTTTCCCAGTGATCAACCCCCTGCCTGCCCCGTAGTCAGTGACTTGTGGGTCGTCTGTCAGTTTTCCTTCCTTGGCCTCTGAGACTCAGCCCGTCTCTGGCCTGCCAGTGAGGTGGCCCGCCGCTGCCTCTTCGCGCCACCCGTGCACACGGCGGGGGAACCTCCGCACACGGCCCCTCACCCTCCCCATCCTGCATCCAGGGGCTTCTCTGGCCGAGGGACCATTTTCCTTGGAAGCCTCAACATTTCCTTCCACGCGAAAGCTACACCGTGTACCGAGGATGTCCGCAGCCCCCACCAGTGTAGCCTCCTCCCCAGCCCTCGCGGCGGCTGGGCCTCGCTCCCCGCATCCCAGTCCAGGTCCGCCCCCCCCCCGGCCCCGCCCCCCCGTGGGGCTCGGCTGCCCCCGGCCGCTGCCGTGTGATCTGGGGTGCGGCCACCTGCCTCCCGGACAGCGACCACATTCCCCCAACGCCGCATCGCACCCCTCGGAGAAGCTTTTGAATCCAATTTCCTTCAAGACTCCGAGTCACAGCAGCTATTTCAGTGACTTCTTAACATTTATGAATAGCTATAAAGAATATATATATTCTTCTGTTTCCATAATTCTTCTGGGCTTTATTTGAATGTAAACTTTTTGGGTTCAGGCTCTGTGTCCTTTAAATAAATAAATAGACATTTTATTTATGCACATGAAATTTGGTAAAGTGTTGTTTGAACAACTTTTTCCCCTGTGTGTGCGGCTTGGCGGAGCGTCTGACACCAGGAGCGTCCCGTCTGACTCAGGGTCCATCTGTTCAGTTTGCTTTTCTTCACGGGAGACAGTATCAGGTGCAGTCCCCCACCCAGGGCCCCCAGGGCTCCGTCACTGCTTGGCTGGCACTGCGGGCTTGTCACCCTGCGTCCTCCAAGGTCTGATCTGCGCCCCGATCCGGGGGCTCCGGGACGCCATCCAAGAGGCTGCTAAGTTTCTCCCGTGCAGTTTGCACCTGGCGACCCCAAACCCAGCGCACGCCTGCTCTTCTCCGGACCTGAGTTTTAGAAGAATCGTCATGGCATCTCCTTTTCTTTCTCCGTCAGCCCGCCGCCGTGCTCACCCAGCCCCACAAGTCTCAGCGCATGTGGTTTCCGCCTACTACACCCCTTCCGGGCCCCAGGCTTTCCACCTCGGCACCCCGGGTCCGCTCCTAACATGCTCCCGAGCGCACAACAGCAACGTGGTGGCGGTTCTCCGCCTGCTGCCTGGGCCAGGAGCCCGTTCTGCAGGCTACCCCGGGGGTGCAGGGGGGCGCAGAGCGGCACGAGACACCTGCAGCTTCACCACGGGCCGGCAGCGAGGCCCGAGCCCACGTCTGTGTGAGAGTGTGTGTTCACGTGACATGGTGCGTGTGCTTGTGTGTGTTTGTGTGTGTGTGTGTGTGTGTGAGATTGCATTGGTGAGAGTGTATGTGTGTGAATGGTATGTTGGTGTGGGACTGTGTAAGTGTGCTGGCACGTGTGTGTTTACGTGTGGGAGTGCACTGTTGGTGAGGCAGTATGAGCATGTGTGTGCTTGCATCTGTGAGTGCATGTGAGTGTGCGTGTGAGCACCCACACTGTGAGTGTGGGCAATCAGCCACCAACTCCAGGGACCCGCCACAGAGAGTAGGCAGAGGCGGACACCCCGCTGGGCCCCAGCAGGGAAGCCCTCTGCGGCCTGGCCAGGGTTGGGGCTCGTGCCCCACAGCCTGCGCTGGCCTTGCCATCTCCCTCCTGCTCCCACTGTGGCATCCTAACCCTTCTGGGAGCCTCAACTTCCTCGTTTGTGAAATGGTGACAATTGGTATTTGTCCCCAGGCGGGGACAACCTGCGGGGGCCTGGTGGGCCAGC